ATCATCGGAATACCTCTTGACGAACACACAATGGTCTGACGATGTCCGGCTGTACCTATGACTCACCATGAAGGAGTCGAATTTCTTGTACCACAGCCGCAGAGCTTGTTTAAGACCATACAAGCTCTTCTTCAATCTGCACACAAGATGCTCTTTGCCTTTAACTTGGAATCCCTCAGGCTGCTCCATATAAATTTCTTCTTCCAAGTCGCCGTGAAGAAACGCAGTTTCCACATCAAGTTGCTCGATCTCTAGGTTCAACCGCACCGCTAAACCAAGGGCAACTCGAATCGAGGACATCTTCACCACCGGTGAGAATATCTCTTAAAAGTCGATTCCCTTTTTCTGACTGTACCCCTTCACAACCAATCGTGCCTTGAATCGTGGCTGCGAGCTAGCATTTTCGATCTTCAATCTATAGACCAATCTGTTTTTGAGCGCTTTCTTGCCTTTAGGTAACTTCACCAAGTCATAAGTGTGATTCTCGTGAAGAGACTCCATCTCTTCTTCCATGGATTTCAACCACAGCTTCTTCTCATCGACTGAGGTCGCCTCTTGGTAAGTTTCTGGCTCTCCGGCATCGGTGATCATCACATACTCATTTGAGGAGTATCTAGTAGACGGACGCCGCTCTCGACTGGATCTCCTCAAAATAGGTTCTTCTGGTGGTTCTTGAACCCCTTCTTCAACTTCATCAGTTGGCTCAACATCATCAACTGTAGGGACATCACCATTGAGAACATCACCATTTGCAGGACCAATATTAGTCTTCGGCGCCGCTCCTCCTTGATCAGGATACACAGTAGGTATAGGAACTGGATCTAAATCAACCATATCATCGTTGTACTTCTCTGTCATCTCGGTTTTATCGATGTCTTTTATACTCTGGTCTTCTACGAACACCGCATCTCGACTTTTTACAGGCTTTTTCTGCACTGGGTCATAGAACCTGTATCCAAACTCATCAAGGCCATAACCGACGAACACACATGGCCTTGTTTTCATGTCAAGCTTCGACCTCTCATCCTTCAGAATATGAACAAAGGCCTTGCATCGAAAAACACGCAAGTGATCGTACGAAACTTCCTTTCCCGACCACATCCTTTCTGGAACCTCAAATTCAATGGAACACACGGAGTAAGATTCAAAACATGCACCACTGTACTCAAGGCTTCACCCCAAAAGGACCTCGGTAACTGTGACTGTGAAAGCAAACATCTTACCCTCTCAACTAGTGTCTGGTTCGTCCTCTCAGCTAACCCGTTCAACTGAGGAGTCTTCGGAGGTGTCTTTTGGTGTCGAATACCCTGCTGCCTACAATACTCATTAAATGGTCCGCAGTATTCACCTTCATTATCTGTTCGGATGCACTTAAGCTTCACACCTGTTTCTCGTTCCACACGAGCATGAAACTGCTTGAAGACGTCTACAACTTGATCTTTTGACTTCAATATATACACCCAAATCTTCCTTGAATTATCGTCAATGAAAGTCACAAAGTACAAGGCACCATCAAGTGTTCTCGTCTTCATTGGACCACATACATCAGAGTGGACCATATCCAAAATACCTGTTTTCCGTGGGTGGGGAACTCTATTGAAGGCAACTCTGGTTTGCTTTGCCGCCAAGCAATGAGCACACTTCTTCAGAAAACCCATTTTCACACCTGGGAGGAGATTCTTCTTGGCCAACACTGTCAAACCCTTCTCACTCATGTGGCTAAGTCGGTTGTGCCAAAGTTCCACAGTGCGTTCATCATCCACCGCATTGATCATATGATCCACAATCTTCACGTTCATCACGTACAATGAAGAATACTTTTGCCCTCTCGCCACAATCAAGGATCCCTTCGTGAGTTTCCACTTCCCGTCTCGAAAGGTGTTACAAAACCCTTCATCATCGAGCTTGCCGGTAGATATCAAATTCATGCGAATGTTGGGAACATGCTTCACACCTCTCAAAACTAAGGTGTTGCCATTTTCAGTCTCCAAGTGCACGTCTCCCATGCTAACTGCCTTAGCAATACCATCATTTTCCATCCTAACACTTCCGTCATCACCGGGAGTGTAGGACCTGAAGAAATCCATTCGCGATGTGACATGAATTGAAGCACCGCTATTGATCACCCAACTAGTCTCCTGGCAAGCGACATTGACGGCATCGCCTTCATAAATGATAAGAAAGTCATCGGTAGCCGTCGCTACCTTCTCACCGTCTTCACCATCTCCAGCCTTCTTTTCTTTGCCTTTGCCATTCGGATTCTCCTTGAGAAACTTTCTGCAATACCTCTTGATGTGTCCCTTTTTGCCACAATGGTGACACTCAAGGTTGGCATAACTTCCAGACTTGCTTTTGCTTCGATTTCTATCAATCGGACCCTTGCTTTTACTTCTCCCCCGCCTTTCAACGAATAAGACATCCGTCTGTGAAGAAGAACACTGTGATTTTATTCTCATCTCTTCGTTCAGGACACTGCTCTTCACCATATCCATGGAGCAAATTCCATTCGGGGCTGAGTTAGACAAAGACGTTCTGAACGTCTCCCACGAGTCCGTTAAAGTACCAAGAAGCCACAACCCTTGTATTTCATCGTCAAACTTGATATTCATTCTAGCCAGCTGATTAATGATTCCTTTGAATGTGTTCAAGTGGTGTGACATAGTCTTTCCATCCTGGTACTTCAAAGCCATCATCTGCTTGATCAAAAACAACTTGTTGTTCCCGGTTTTTCGCGCATACAACTCTTCGAGTTTATTCCACAAGGTCCGTGCATGCTTTTCTTCACTAACGTCGTTGAGGACATTATCATCTACCCATTGCCTAATGTAGCCACACACCTTACGGTGACAAAGCTCCCATTCTTTATCTGTTTTGTCCGACGGCTTCTCATCGGTAAACACGGGCAAATAATAATCCTTCACATACAAGAGATCTTCCATCTTCCCTTTCCACACATGGTAATTGGACCTATTCAAGGTAACCATCCGGCTTGTGTTAGTCTCCATGATTTGGACAAGGCACACGAACCAACCTGGCGCTCTGATACTACTTTGTTGTGGTTAAAGACACCAAATACAATAATGACTTTAACCGAATAACAAGCACCAAGTCCAATCAACAACAACAACAATAACCACAAGAAGTAGAAAACCAACAATGATCAATCAAGCAATAGAATGACACAAGATTTTTAGCGTGGAAAACCCCGAATTGGGTAAAAAACCACGGGACCCGTAGGCCGCTTAAATCATCCACTATTCAATCCGATAATAGATACAACCAAATCCTCTCTAGTTCACCAAACTAGAAGCTAACAACAATCCTCAAGATCACAACACAAGATCTTGGTAAACCACAAGAAACAAATCAACAAAACACCACAAATATCCTCTTCACGTCAGATACGAACAGACAGACCTAACGTGCTCAAAACCCGATCTGCACCGTTCAAAATGAAGAGTAAGAAGTTATTAACCTGCTGTCCAAATTTGGTGACGATCCAACGGTGCAATCGCCGGGAATCGGCGATTTCCTATGACTGCGCAGTGCAATTGCGGGAATAAAAAAGATGAGTTTCTATTCCTTTTTTTTTCTTCTACCGTTGTTGCGCACAGTAGGTTATGCCAAGAAGATTTTTTTTTTTCTTTTTATTAAATAGAATAGGCTTTTGGCCCTTATTTAGTCCAAGCCCACCAAAATTGGGCCGGACTCAACATGAAAGAGTTTTTTTTTTTTTTTTT